CGATGTAGCTGTTGGTGTAGTTGCAAGGCTTCATCTTTTTTTCAGATTTGGGTTGTGGGCACATAACTGCGGGTCTGTCCACCGTGTACCGTGTGGTTCTGGGCCATTATCTGTACAATTAAATTAACTTAGGATTCGAAAATCAAACGTACCATTGTCTTCCAACCGTAAATATTCATGAGCCCCTATGGAGCCACAGCCACAGGAAGAAACTTGTGCAGTGCTAATGCAAACCTGTAGTTCATAGATATTGATTATTGTCTTGTTATTCTCGGGGCCAGTGTTTGCAAACACTGATTGGGGAATTAATTGTTAAAACTGGTTATACTTTTTGTATTATTTTGTTTAAATAAACTATTTCAAAAGAAAAATAACAACATTCGACGAATGACATTTGACATCATGTTTGTGTCCAGCATGACAGGGAAAGGCGGCTGCCTACTCATTCGACGAATGACATTTGCCGCCATGTTTGGCCAATGACAAGTCGGTGCTAATCAACAACCGAACCAAACCAAACCAAATCTATATCATAAAATACTGCATTTTACAACCTATATTGAAAGCACCAGTTCACATTCTATTGTTAAAAACAGATTGCAAAGTAATATTTTTCACATCATCAATAATAGCTCAAGTTCGACTGAATATTTACAATTCTTTTCTGAATATGTCAAGGTTTAAAACAATTTCCTCATTGTAGTGTGCAGCAGGACGTGGCGTGTCAGGAAACAAATGCAGAATCATCCGAAGAGTCCGGTACGAAATGAAGAAACTAGCTGGACCAGCTTACAAATGATCTCATCAAGCCACCCGTTTCAAAGAACTTCATTGGATCGCCGTGTCAAACAATAGAATGTGAACTGGTGCTTTCAATATAGGTTGTAAAATGCAGTATTTTATGATATAGGTTTGGTTTGGTTTGGTTCGGTTGTTGATTAGCACCCACTTGTCATTGGCCAAACATGGCGGCAAATGTCATTCGTCGAATGAGTAGGCAGCTGCCTTTCCCTGTCATATTGATTCTATCGCTGGACACAAACATGATGTCAAATGTCTTTCGTCGAATGTTGTTATTTTTTCTTTTGAAATACTTTATTTAAACAAAATAATACAAAAAGTATATCCAGTTTTAACAATAATTCCCCAATCAGTGTTTGTAAACACTGGCCCCGAGAATAACAAGACAATAATCAATATCTATGAACTACAGGTTTGCTCTAGCACTGCACCACAAGTTCTTCCTGTGGCTGTGGCTTGATAGGGGCTCATGAATATTTACGGTTGGAAGACAATGGTACGTTTGATTTTCGAATCCTAAGATAATTTAATTGTACAGGTAATGGCCCAGAACCACACGGTACACGGTGGACAGACCCGCAGTTATGTGCCCACAACCCAAATCTGCAAAGATGAAGCCTTGCTACAACACCAACAGCTACATCGAGGACATTGATTCAGCCTGACTACAAGAATAAGAAGAAGGTTTCATTGATAATCGGTGGAGCAGCCACTGTCTTTATTGGGAGTGCAATCAAGATGAAATGTCCAGCCAGAAGGTCAGTATCCGTTTATCTGTGACTATTTCCCTCGTCTTAATTTCTACCAATCATATACGAGCAATTTTCAATTAAAAATGGATTCTAGATTGAAAAATTGTAGTATGACAACACCTGTCAGCAGTTTTTTTGATTTACCCACTGCAAAATTTGATAGCTGTTGTCACAAAAAATTACTGTACCTTTGATAACAAGTAATTCGGGTCTTCTAGGACACCAGAAATAATAATCTGTTACTCATGAAATAGTCCTGTGAAATTCCATTCGGACATCGTAACTTTTTCCTGTGAAAAAAATCGAAAAAACAGAATGCAAAGTAATATTTTTCACATCATCAATAATAGCTCAAGTTCGACTGAATATTTACAATTCTTTTCTGAATATGTCAAGGTTTAAAACAATTTCCTCATTGTAGTGTGCAGCAGGACGTGGCGTGTCAGGAAACAAATGCAGAATCATCCGAAGAGTCCGGTACGAAATGAAAAAACTAGCTGGACCAGCTTACAAATGATCTCATCAAGCCACCCGTTTCAAAGAACTTCATTGGATCGCCGTGTCAAGCAATAAAATGTGAACTGGTGCTTTCAATATAGGTTGTAAAATGCAGTATTTTATGATATAGGTTTGGTTTGGTTTGGTTGTGGATTAGCACCGACTTGTCATTGGCCAAACATGGCGGCAAATGTCATTCGTCGAATGAGTAGGCAGCCGCCTTTCCCTGTCATGTTGATTCTATCGCTGGACACAAACATGATGTCAAATGTCATTCGTCGAATGTTGTTATTTTTTCTTTTGAAATAGTTTATTTAAACAAAATAATACAAAAAGTATAACCAGTTTTAACAATAATTCCCCAATCAGTGTTTGCAAACACTGGCCCCGAGAATAACAAGACAATAATCAATATCGATGAACTACAGGTTTGCATTAGCACTGCACAAGTTTCTTCCTGCAGCTGTGGCTGGAAAGGGGCTCATGAATATTTACGGTTGGAAGACTATGGTACGGGTCTGTTCCGGGTCGGTCCCGGGTCGGTTCCGGTTCGGTCCCGGGTCTGTTCCGGGTTCGGTTCCGGTTCGGTCCCGGGTCGGTTCCGGTTCGGTCCCGGGTCTGTTCCGGGTTCGGTTCCGGTTCGGTCCCGGGTCTGTTCCGGGTCGGTTCCAGGTTAGGTTCCGGGTTTGGTTCCGGGTTCGGTTTGGTTTTGGGTTTGGTTTGGGTTTGGTTTGGTTTTGGGTTTGGTTTGGTTTTGGGTTTGGTTTGGTTTTGGGTTTGGTTTGGTTGTGGGTTTGGTTTGGTTTTGTGTCCAAAAAAGGAGGATAGCGTTATCCGGTATGATTCAATATTCGAAGAAGCGATCGTCATGAGGAAGAAAATCACACGTTTTAGACGATCCGCTAGCACGCACTTACTTTTGTAATATGTTCGTACCTACAATACCCCGCCTAACAGCCTTATAGATCAGTAACTTTAGACATTCATAAAGTTCTCAATATATTCAAAAAAGTTTATTACTGTGTCCAAAAAATGAGGATAGCGTTATCCGGTATGATTCAATATTCGAAGAAGCGATCGTCATGAAGAAGAAAATCACACGTTTTAGACGATCCGCTAGCACGCACTTACTTTTGTAATATGTTCGTACCTACAATACCCCGCCTAACAGCGTTATAGATCAGTAATTTTAGACATTCCTAAAGTTCTCAATATATTCAAAAAAATTTATTATTGTGTCCAAAAAAGGAGGATTGCGTTATCCGGTATGATTCAATATTCGAAGAAGCGATCGTCATGAAGAAGAAAATCACACGTTTCAGACGATCCGCTAGCACGCACTTACTTTTGTAATATGTTCGTACCTACAATACCCCTCCTAACAGCGTTATGGATCAGTAATTTTAGACATTCCTAAAGTTCTCAATATATTCCAAACCAAACCAAACCAATTACTCTAATGCGCAGGCGTATCATATGAATTATTCGGAATTTTTGTTTGCTGGTGTCATACAGGTTGTAGAGACAATCTTCAATATTTTTTCCATGCAAATTTTCGGCATAATTATGACCATAATTTTCGGAGTAATTCTCTTGTGTGTAAAACGGCTCTTAGTTAGGAATTAATGAAATAGTCAATTAGTAAGTGAACATATATTTAAAATATGATTTGTATTCTTGTAAATAAGGGAGCAAATTTTGAAAATAGGAAATCACATTGATGCTAACATTGCAATATTGTGATGGCAATGATTAACGTAGAAAATCCGACACAAAAACTTTTTAGTGGCCTCTTTAGGATTGTGAGTCCGGCTGGAGGAACCCAAGGCAGACCAGATATGCATATTACTTGCCAAATAGAGCAAAAACAGTGTGGAACATTTTTTTTTTTGGCTGCTGAAAGCGAATCTGAAGATCGTTCAATCCGGAAATGTCAATATCAAGACATTCTCCAAATTCGACAAACTTAAACAGCTGCGAGGTGGTTAAAAGCCAACATATTTGTTAATAAATTCAGATTCTTCATTGGAATATTATCTAATAAATAGTAATATTACGCGTTTTCTTTAATGTTACAACACAAAGATTTCCCTTATGCAACTATATCGGGGTTTACTGAGTTTCCCATGGATGCGTCAGGCAATTATTGAGATCTGTGAGGTGTCTGTTTTCGAGATACTTGCAGCGCTATTCATTGGACGGCAGCTAAGCCAAAATATTGTGTACAGGTTCAGAAACATGTAAGCTTTCATCATCTATATTAACTGAGGAGAATTACGGTAAATCATCACCGCGACCGCGTTGTGTGTACTTACTGTTAGCATCTATATGGCTCTATAATTCGGCAGTGTACAGTGAATATAATTATTTCTTATCCCTCTCATTTTTGAAATTCAGCAAATTTGTATATGTAATTTCCAGAATGGATAAGATAAAGTGGATGCGCAACTAATTTCTAGCTTTGAATCTCAATTAAGTATATTTGAGACAAGAACACATACAACGTACAGCTTAGACCTCCAGTAATGCCATTTCAGAAGCAGATTTTATATCAGATCAGAGCCAAAGATTGATAACAAGCCTCATGACGTTTAGACAACACGTACAACTAAGTGCTAAGTTTATATCTTGTAGAAAAACCTACATAATGTCAAAAAAAAACAGCATAATGCCAAAAAAATCGGCATAATGTCACTTTTCAAGATACGTGATACACGTGCGGATCTTGGACCATACAGCTTAAATGAAAAATCTTCGGTACATCTGGCAAACATAGTTGGCACATCTTGCATGCTTATGCACTCAGCCACTCATGTTCGAATTAGGCGCAGTAGTAGTAGTAGTAATAGTAGTTGTAGATTAGACGAGTAAAGAAGCAAACTCGTTGATCACACTTTTATTTTAACAGAAAATAAGCAAGTCGTACCTACATTTTTTAACGAATAAATTACACCATGCAACATACACAATTTCAAGATAGATAAAATAAAATTAAAAAACTATATAACTAACATTGAATTTAAAAACTTTATTTAATAAACCTTTTAGGGATATGTTATAAAATGAAGGTATAATCGTGTAGTAGTAGTACAAGGTACGATTTTCAATGAAAAACAATCATCTTTATATTAGATTCAGCATGATTTTTGGCTCTGTTATTTTTGATAAAATGCAAAAAATTGATATTTTAAGTACAGTGAATATTTTTTCTGGTATCTCTTACATCTTACACCATGGAACAAGCCTTTTTATTAAATTGATTGGCTCTAAGTACTGATGACTGTATACCTATACTAAGTATAAATTAACTTTCTACAATCGTATAGATGACAAGAACTTAAAAACCATGATTAATTAATATAATGAGATGTTTCATTGGAAATGGTATCCTCTATAATCGTTTTCCATTTGGATTATGACTACTTTGTTAATAAAATCTTATTTAATTAACCGGATGACTATTACAAGTAAAACGAATTAGACAGAGCTCAAGTTGCAAAAAAATCGTAATTATCGGCGCAGCGAAACGTAAAGGTATTAAACATATCGCAAATGCATGTTTCATAACTTAGTGTTCAAATGCAGGTATAAATTTTACAAAATAGAAATTATCTATAAAATAATATGTTGGAAAAAAACGAAACAACTTTTAACTTTTTCACAAGTATAATCATGCTATATCACAGTCAATAAAGTACGAATCTTTTTTCTAGTTAAAGATTTCCAAAAAGCTATTCCTCTTAACACGTAATGTCTATTTTGTAAAATCAAATGCGTTATTAGAACAATTCGATTTCAACTACATTATAATAGACCAGATAATTATCTGCTGCATTTTACTGAGAATCATCGATTAGTGAGTTGAAATGACGTAGCAACTTTTTTATTCCCTCCACCATAGAAAAGAGGAGATATACAATAATAAGTATACTGATATAACTCAGTCACCTACTCTGTAGTACTCGTATGTCGGTGTAGGTTTTTGACTGTAGACAATCTAGGAAGACATACTGCAGGCTCATAATGATAGGGAAGTTAAGAATATTTCGTCATATATGTCAATATGCATTTTATCACAGGCTATTCTCAAAACAAGAGATTTAACATCATCATCATAGAGGCATTTTTAAGGAACAGAATAGTCGGAAAGGTATATTTTCTAGATCATGATAATCCGGTGGAATTTGCTGAAAGGTATTTATTCTGATTGCGGGACTTGTCACCTTTTCCAACAGTTTAATTAAAAATTCTCAAGATATTTGTTCGAATGACGCCATAAAATTAAGCAGACTGGTCTACTTTATTTTAAGAGGACATAATAATATTATGTTCATTGCAAGTATATCTGGCTGCTCGTCCTACGGAATTGAACTCTAGAAAGCAATATTTTAGAATTATTATAACTTTCGCAAGACGATTGTTTAAAGCTAAACAGATCTTGGTGAATGGCGAGGGCGTACCTATGAGATATTATCAAAGAGATATTGTATTTTAAATACGTAAAATTGTATTTTGTTGATATCGCGAAGGATCACAAAAGGTTAAAAAATGTTTTATTTCTGTGTTTGGAGTGCACTTGTCTTGAGTGGTAATTGAAAGCTGTTTGTAATTTAATATTTCGAAAGTTGAGTTTTTGTAGGTCACCAATGTGTCGTAATTACTTGGTATATAGATCAAGTGTTCCGCTGTTAGTCAGACGTATTCTAGTACCACTTGTCCATATAACATTTATATACTAACTTGAAAATATTAACGCCTTTATGCAAACAGTGGATCGCTGTGTAGAAAGTGAACCTTGTCTCGAGGACCCTAATCAGCAGTCCAAGGCACATAATTGATCATTCCAATTGTAATGAAACCATAGAAATGCCAAACGCATATGAATATGCCCAGATAGCACTAAATATTTATTAAATATTTAAAAAAAATGTTTGTTAAATATTTGTAGCGACAGATTTTTTAATATTTAATAAATATATTTCTTATATATTTATAAAATATTCATTATAGACAGGGGCGGCTGGTCTTTAAGTTCTGCACAGCTGCAGAACTGCCAAAACTATTGTCTTAACAGAAAAAAGCAGTAGTAATTTGATCATTATTCATTTTCCATGTTACACAAATAGAAACAATATCGGCAACGCTGCCCCCGCAAGACACAGCGTCGAGTCTGTTTTGTATTGAGAAAGCGGTACAATCGATCAATTGTGTACTTGTCATTTTCGTCGCGACCGCAGCGTAACATTATTAATGGGCCACTTGAAAAGGGTCTGTGCTGTGCACTACTTCGACACAAGCCGCACGCGCTTGCTTTTGTCTCTCTCTACAAAATCAAATGCGCGATTTAAGCATAAGCATGTGCTGCAAGTTATACAGATCTAATGCGAAGTACGATATCTGATTGGTCGGTCGGTGCTCGGTATAAAATTTTGCGGAGCTATCATAGTGAAAGTCACAGGAAAAATGGATGCCGGAAAATGCGCAAACGGGTCGGCGCAGGCCGGCTTTCTATTATACCATTGGTCGCTCCGGGTTACACGCACATGCTCCGTCGCCGAAAATACAGGGTGTCCGCAAAGTTGGGGTTTTCCTTTACACGACGTGTAGATCTTGAAAACATAAGCAATTTTTCTTAGTACCATGTACACCAATGTCTTAAGGGACCGACGGTTACGGTCACGCGTGTAGAGGTAATCGCGTAGACGAGAATCCCTCATTGGACCATTTATTCTCCCAAATCGATTGGACGGGATGCAATACCTAGACTTTTTACGTAACATTTTGCCTTCCTTGTTTGCCTGCGTCTGCTCGGTAGCGCATCAGCTGATTTCATTTTCTGTTGGAGCGGTATGTTTTCGGGCAGAGACGTACTTAGCCCTTCTCGTCAACTGGAGAGTGAGTACTTTTTCCTTCATTTTTTTTTACTTGGTCGCCCACGTTTCACTACACATCACCTTTGTTATTTCAAGGGTAGTTGTTTCTCAAAAGGAAAACCCTAACTTTGCGGACACCCTGTATTTAATGAATATTTTCTAAATATTGGAGTATCCATTGATTGAAAAGTAAATATTTAATGAATAAATATTTAATAAAAATATCATATTACAGATATTTAAGTAAGATAAAAATATTATTAAATATTGAATAAATATTTCGTGCTATCGAGGTGTTGGCTTGACTACTTATATGTATAGAAGGTCAGAGGGCAAATGGACAGTTTCTGTATAATTATGATGCTTCTGGTGCTCTTATCAGACTATAATATTCTACTGATCAGAATCCAGATCCATTACCGCGTAATAATAAAATAATTATGACCAAGGTTATATTTGTTTTAATTTTTTTTGCGACAATTCATTTTTGGTACGTGCTGTTTAGTTGATAGTGTTAGTTAGCCCAAGAGATGTACGAAAAAATCTGTACGGCTGTAAGGATGAAAAGCCAGTGCTGCGCCAAAAATATTGTCGATACATAAATGCATCTTTTGTTTAAGCGATGGTTTAGTAACATTTATAACCTGACTGTAATTTTTAATCATCTGTCGTGTCCTCCTTTTGTATGTCACCGTTAACATTATTAATATCTATCTGACTATCTAGTGTATGTTGTGGTCGTTCTTGAGGCCCCGTTCCGCTGTCTGCCTGTTCAGGAGGCTGATTTCTCTGCGTCGCCGTCGTCCCTCCTCCTTGAGCGTCATTTGCCGCCGCCATTTCGCTGGGCTTCAAGACGGCTCTGACTGTCTGGAAATACTTCTTGAAGCCCAACTTGGTGTACAGCCCTTTCGAAGCGTCATTCTCCGGACGGATAACTACGAACGGAATGTAGCCTCTTTCTGTCACCTTTTCAACAAGAAACAACGATCACGTTTGTTCAGATTCTGACTCTGATATAACCAAAAGTACGGACACGCCTAAGGCTGCTAGGATAAGACTTCACATACAACAGTTTCAGGAACCAAATGACGCATCTTGAAGGTCGATTCAAGGGCAAGTTGATTTTTCCAAATAGGAACCCCCATATTTTGTTGCAGAAATGGCACATTCAAAAAATGTTTATTTCCAACGGTATTAAATATCGTAGTGACTAAAATTACATCTAGAGGTTATTTCAAGGTCAACTGTTGCTCTTTCATGTAATGCTGTGGAACAGCGCGGATAGATGGAAAAGAAGAATATTAAAGAAGAATTTTTAATGCAAAAGTTACAGGACACTCAACGGCACAACCGATGGTGACCATCATTATGACCTTGATTTAATGTATCGAAACATAAATAATGATCCCTACGTATGATTTTACCTCTTAAGAAAACGTTTGAACATGAAATTTTCCCCCATTTTCCGTACCGCAATCAAAATCGAGGGTTTCCATGTGAAAGAATCAATTTGACCTTGAATTGATCCTGAAAGGCCATAATCAAGATCAGAATGACGGTCACCATCAGATGCGCCGTTGGATGTTCTGTAATTTTCGAACTGAAGGTTGTTCTTTAATTTTCTTCTTTTTCCAGCTATCCGCTGCTTCACAAAATTCGATGAAAACGCAACAATTTACCTTGAAATAACCTCTGGATGTAATGTTCGTCTTACCGTTGGACAGTATATTTTCTTGGCTTTCTATTTTTGTAATAAAAATGTTGGTTTCCGTTTGAAAAAATCGACTTATCCATGAAATGACCTTCAAGGTGAATGTGAACGTCATATCCAAGGTCATCAATAGATGCGCCATTTGATTTCCTAAAACTGTTGTGATTAACATCTTTTCCTAGCATTCTTAGTTTTTCCAGATGTGTCCATACTCTTGAGACATCTTGCCCTGTATAATTAATGAATACAGGTACCTATAAAGAACTTGGCAAGAGCCAAGCACTTTTTCATATTTTCATTTCGTTTGACTACTATTTGATATGAAATTGTATAGTTAATCAAACAAAATACAGGAATAACAATTGAGAACGCTTATAAATTGGCTTACCAATTTGGTTAAATATTTTGCTAAAACGAGTCCATATCCTTTCCTCCGGTATTCCGGTCTAGTCTGCATCGAGAACATGGCTCCGTAATATGACTGCACCATCCACGCAGCGAGATCTCCGGAAGTGCTAAAGATGCCGTAGCAAGGTAACTTCTCGATCAGTCTTTCGAACACTTGAACGCATTCCATGTTGTTGGCTGGGTACAAATCGTGAATGGTTTTAGCGTGCGAAGGACTCAACTGGGACAGCACCGCTTCGTCCGTATAAACCACCCTACGTAGCATATACCCTTTTCAGTCATACGATCAAAGAAGAAATGTTCTAATTGTTTTAACTTACAACGTACGGAGTCTATAAATTCAGTAATGAGACCGACTTTTTAAATTTTTTATTCAAATGCAATTACAATTTCTCACCCTCAAAATAGCTTCATTCTGAAGCCACACAGCGCTGGAGACGCAGACGGTTCTTCCACTCCTCGTAGCAGTGCTGGAACTGCGATACGTGGGTAGCCTTCAGATGGTTACCGGTTACAGGCGTTTGAATGTTTTCGACTGTCCCAAAACAAGTTCCTTTGTGGTGATTTTTCAACTTCGGGAAGAGAAAAAAGTCACCAGGACTCAAATCAGCCGAATAAGGAGGCCGAGGAGCCACGTGAATGGTTTTACTGTCCAGAAACTCGTTTATTTGCATTGCTGTGTGGCAATGAGCAATGATGCAACACCCATAGTTGTGTGTCAGTCATATTTAACTCTTCTCCAATCATTCAGACTGGCAATCGACGATTCGAACGCACAACATCACGGATTATGTCGATATTCTCATCTGTTCTTGAAGAAGAAGGCCTTCCGCTTCGTGGTTCATCGTCAAACGACTACCTCCCTTCTCAGCAATGCCTTAAACCCTCGAAAAAACTGGGCTCTTGACAATACATTATCTCGGTGGGTCTGCAAGAATTTCCGTTGCACTGTGCCCAAGTCTGAAGTAAAACTGGATAGCACACCGTTGCTTGAAATTGATGTCACTTATTCTTAGAATACGATAGAAAAAATTGTCTTACATTAAAATCACTACGGATATCCAAATGACTCGAGCGAGTTCAAACTTGTACTGAAAGCGGATGTTCCTTTGTCTCCTTGCCAATCCCGGCGCATCCAGTGTTGCCAGATGGAACGCTCCGAGTCTCATTACTTAATTTATAGACCTCGTACATACTACATGTAATGTAGAGAAAAAAATATCTAGACAGCGCTCTACCGTTACCACCGAGAGTACAAGGCCTGACAACAGACTCGTGACGTCACCACGAGTAGGCCGGTCGGCCGGCCGACAGCACTGCGTGCCGTACATCGGCGCTAGTGAATAATATACTATATTATTATTGCAGCATATTTAATATAGTCTACCTGATGTAAATAACGGATAATTCAGAAAAGTGTTTTTGGTATATGAACTTGGTGGAAAATATTAAAGTACATAAAAGGTTGCTAAAAATGATAAAGTCTTCAATGAAGATATGTTAGTCACAACAGATCAACAAAATTTCACAGGAATATGTGGACAATTTACTATTATTATAGGCATAATATAATGGTGCTTGAAAATTATATAAAAACTGTAGTGCTTGTCGAACAGTTGTGTCCAGCACGAACCAACGAAGAGGTATGAGGTAACCTCTAGCCAGAAAAGGAATAAGAAAGATGAGGAGGAAACAGTGTAGGATAAATGATAATAAAAACAGATAAAATCAAAGTAAAATAAACAACAGAAACAACATATCAAATATTAATGAAACCTTAATAAAAACTTTTAGAACAAACAAAATACAGCACAAAATAATAACAAAAATTAGAAAACAGAAAACAGGTATCAAAAACAACAAAAATTAGAATAACGAAAATTAAAGTACTAAATTCTGAATATGTACAAATAAACATTTATCTACAGCTATGTAAAGGTTGCGGCCTCATGTGAATGTAGTCAATTTACGTTTCTTTGCTTTATTCGCGCTTGCAAAGCTGTCGTTCCTTTTGGCACAATAATTTTTCAAAAATGTATTGACTGTGCAAATAGCAATTAAATTTATAACGTCTCATATGACAATGTCATCTGTGTGTCAAATTTTCCTTACAATGATCGCAGTGATTTTTCTTTAATAAGGCATAACAACAGTAACCAGCTAAGTAGGTGATGACAGGGATTTCTTTCTTTATACTATCAATATCTGACTGTAAATTTTCAATTTCCCGAAAAAAGTGGTAATCATTAAAATTGTATAGAATTTCATCTATTTCTAAATCATCATTTTCACGGAATTTATTTATTTGTATATCACCATAGCGAGACTTCAATGATATCAGGCTTTGAGTTCGTAACTTTTTCTCAGATGCATATAACTGACGAATTGATATATTATATTGACCCACTGCCAGTTGACGATACTTACCAAATCTATTTTCCAATGAGTCAGTTTGAAATTTACCTAACAATATATAATTACTGTGCAGTTCAGATTTACAGTACCTTACTAATTCCAATAAGCCATATATACTGTATGATGTAGTGCAGTGTAAGTCTGACTAATTGGTCTTTTTGAAAATTTTGCTGGATAATTCCACTCTTCTAGCCAATCTAGCATGTTTTGCAAGAATGTCAGCTTAGTGTCATCACCTTGTCCATCACTGTTGGAGCAAACAATAGGCTCTGCATAAAGGTCATTTAATCGCTTTCCTTTCAATGGACGTTTTACATTGACAATTCTCCTCCACTTCCATATAATATCAATGAATTTTGCTATCTCTTCGGAGTGCTGTATGTTTTTACCTTGATACTGCATCTATTACAAATGGGTTGAATATCTTGAGAGCTAAATGAACATTTTGTCTTTCAAGGTTGGTGGGATATAAAGCTTTCAGGGTGAAATCATAACCATTTTTCAATATTTTATGACTTTCCATTTGGTCAATGTTTTAAGAGATTTAAATGAAGCAACATTTACCTCATGTGTTTCAAAATCTAGGTATGTTAAAATTTGGTCTGGTTTTGAATTCAGCCAATTATTGCGGATACATTTTAGAAGATGCATTGTATCAAAAAGGAAGAATAGGGGACGTTTTTTATCCAACGGATGCGGATAAACAATGCTTGTTTTATTATCTGGAGAAAAATGTGCCATCGCTTTACCATTCAGTGCATTATTATCAAATACAACACAGAAAATTTTATAACTAAGTTCTTCTAATCCAATAATAAGTTTTGTCCGTATGGACATTGCCATGAACTGAAAACTGTAAGAAAGTCTGAATAATTTTGAAAACTTGTTTTTGATAAGAAGAATAATCATCAATGCTACTTTGCAGTGCTTTAAGTAGTTGTTCTTGTTCCTTGTCCCTCAATTTCTCATCTCGGCTTCTTCTGCTTGATATGTCGTTTGAAAGGTATTTTGGACAATTTGCAAAGATACTTGGAGTTACATCTGCCTTTAGTTTTGGATACTTAAGGGGTACAGTAATGGTCCTACCTGTCATTTCTCATGGAAGGTGGATTCCCAAGTGATCCTGTCCTCAGCAACGTGCAAATTGAGCCATCTTTTACGACAGTTTTCATTCAATGGAATCGAAAATACGTGTACTTTCGGACCCTTCCCGTAATTACCGGCACAATTAGGAACGTACCACTTGTAAGGCATTTTGAAAACTTAGCTAAACAATCGCGAGACATAAATATAAGTTTAAAACATCAATAATTTTGAGAATGTGAGGTTAGTTGTCTGTTGGACAGCTGTCGGATGTTACCAAGGTTGCCACATATTCCAATTTTGATTGGAATATTAGACTTCACAAGTGACGGATTGAACGTAATATCGAAAATGTATTCTTGATATACTGAGGCAGATCAGAAAGAATAATCACATCATCACTGAAGCTGCACAGGCCCCGAGTACATCTTGCAAATTCGCCTACAGAGAGGTACAACTAATTAGTCGAGATTTCGATACTGCTATATCAAACCTAGATATGACAACACCGCAGAGAAATGGTGGCGCGGTACTCTTGCCAGCCAGGCATCGCGAAACTCCATAAGAACATGCATAGGCCTACTTTGCGTGACGTCACAGGCTTTTCAGAGCCCAGTTGTTTGGCCTTGTACTCTCGAAGGTAACGGCATAATACCCTCTCCAGACTCACGCGCGGATCACGGCCTGAAATCGCGGTGCGAATCCCGAAATTTGTTCCTACAGTTCCACACTCGCAGATGTTGCTACTGCTGCTGCAGCAGGGCTACTTTGCTCTTTGGCAATGTATAATTACGCATATATTATGTTTGTGCGATTTCGGGACGATGAGCGTCGGTGACGCGTCTAATTTCATATGGTCGGACAGTCGTCAGGTTCCGGCATTTCCTTTTTACGATTGTTGTACATATAAATGGACCGACTTACCTGGTGTCGGCAGCGACATCTTCCTCGGCGGTTAACCCTTGTTCAGGTTTCATTAGGCCATAAATATCGCCGTACAGCTTTTCCATTATCCCTCCTCTCTCATTATACATTTCCTCCAGTTTTTCCACAATCTGCGAATGCGTGAAGTTTAGGAAAATTGGCTGCGTCCAGTCGATTAGCACCTCCTCCTCTAACAACAGGTACATGTTGTCTAGCTGATCGCAAGGGCAAAACACGCTGAAGCTCTCGTACAGTTTATTGTTAGGCTGTCAAACAAAAATACACACCATTGACTTACACTTAGCAATATTGGGAATACTAATTTATACAACAAAAAGTAGATATTCGATAAGGTATAAAATGTTCACTGCAACATAAAATCTGAGCGTGGTCAAAGTTGGATTTTCCAGGTACTGCTTTTTTTGTGCAGCATACGAGTTTACGAAAGGAAAATCTACAAACGTACAATAGAACCCGGTCGTATCGAGAGACAAACAATTGCCGCACGTTTCGAATGGCGCCATTTTAGATTCATACACACACGCACATGTACACACATTTCAATACATTTCCGTAATTTGGAATTATTTCCTGTCCATAAGACTTTCCGGAGTTCATCGCGCATAGTAAATGATAGTTGAGAAATACACACCACTGCGATTAGGGGCCGTTCAAGTATTTGTCTTTGCTTTGCTCATTTTGGATGACATGGGGGGTAGGGGAGTCTAGATGATGATTACGCCATCGGTAGTTATTTACTTTTTTAAACGAATGGCAACCCTGACATTGTCTTTGCTTGAAAACGAAACGCGTTTTCGTGGATTCCCGAAAATAATGCATACGTTTAGTGAACAGCGCGCGGTAATTCCCCTGCTCGCTTTAGAACCGAGTAGGAGTAGATGAAAATCCACGTTATCAAAAAGTCATAGGGTTTGCTATACAACACTTTAAGCGACATGATCTCTATTATTTTTAGCTACCAATGCACATAGACAAATCCAAGTTATACCAAAAATTATATTATAATATTAAAAAACAATACATTAATGGACAAATGTTGCATGGGGGGAGGGGGTAAAAGCTTTGTTTACTTTTGCTGACAAGGGGGATGGGGGGGGGGTAAATAATTCTAATAAATCTGCTTACGTAATACTTGAACGGTCCCTTAGTTCAAATAATAGAATTTAACCAATATGGATTAACGAAAATGAAAAATCTCGTCTTATTTTACATTGACTTTCTTATTCACATTTGCTTTTCGATATGATGGTAAACGACATAGACTTCTTCATTCAGATGTATTACTGCACCCTTTCAATTTGATTGTAACTATACGTATATTTTTTCACGGTATGGTAATATTGATTTCTTTTCTCAATGTGTGAATTTGGTGTGTGTTGCACAATATGGAAAACTGCTATATAGGCGAGTGAACGTGAACCTCAGTTCGAGGCGTGCCGGCCTTGACCTTTGATCACAGATGCTTGGAAAATGTAGGCAAACATGAAACGGCCAGCGATAATGTATTTTTTCCATTCTTAATTTCACTTAAATAAAGCGATGTGAACGAAACTGAAGTTCTTGATAGTTCGTGGCTGACGTCGCAGAATCATAGAGGGCGAAGTGTACTATCAACCGGAGGCGTATTCTGAACGGTGTCCCGATTGGAGCATTACCCATCATCTGTCATGTATAAAAGTGTGCGAGCGATCACGTGATAGCAATTCGTAGCGGGCAGCCTTCTACTCGGGAGTCCGGTAAAGCGGATCTATATTTGTGAAGAACTCAACTTGGCAAAACGGTTATAAGTGTAAACAAGTTAGCTTACCGTTTTTGTCATTCCAGGGAAGTGTAGTATCACAGCTTGCTCCGGCCACGTTTTAGTGACGTAGAAATAAAATTCCCACACCCTGTCTTTCAAAAACGTCTTCAATGTTTGATGGAACTAAAACAATAATAATTATATTACTAACATCGTCCACTATCTCAATAACCGCCATTAAATATCGTTAAATCGATATTCTCTTATGGATCTTGTGTCATTTAAAAATAAATGTTTTTACATCTCTACGTATGGTTGTACGAGTATAACAAATAATGGATTTGACATTACGGGATGACATTTATATCGATGCCTTTGTATTTTATCCAAACGATACCTAGATATGTGTATGAACGTAATCAGGAGAATAGAAAACTATAATATGCATATGACTAACGGTTTTCGATAGTTATGCCAATAGTATGTAGTGACATACCTTGATGGAATCCGGTAAATAGTTACCGAGAAAATCAATGATTTCTGGAAGCTCTGATTCGTTTACCAATCGAAAGTGTTTGCCTTCTGGTAAAACTTCTTCCATAGCTGAAAAAGACATTGAAAGAGAAAATGCTTAGTAACAAATAGCTCATCGATTATGTTTCATTTGTCTATGTGTATTGCTTTTGAACGAATCCAAAACCAATATTTTTGAAACAGTTAAAAATATCGCAAAAAAAATATGTATAAAAATGATATGATTCATTTTTATACATATTTTTTTTTGTTTATTTGTACATATTTTAATTATGGAGTTGGCTTTCGTCGTGTTAACAAATATGAAATAAAAATCACTCTCTTCGTCCGGTTTTAAATTGACATCCTGATTCTGTGACGGCTTGTTCGATAAACACCGCCAGCTAGCGTCGAATCGATGTTTACCATATACCTAGACATTTAGTTTCATCAAACGTAGAATATACATAATTGGCAGTTAATTGGAACGTTAAAAAATCAATCGGGTACTTCGACATTTGACTGCTAACGCGGAAATTAATCTCAGTTTGCCACCAAGAAATGGAGGAATAATGATACAAATAATCAGGAAATAAACTCAACTACAGGATTCAGCAATTTCCTGAATGCCTCATAAGGCTTCTTTATTTCATATAAATACGCGTATTGACTTTTCGGTGAGTGAGGAAAGTTCAGATATGATTCTAGTAATTTATCTAAAAATACACAACCTGGAGGCTAAAAAATCGTAGAACTTTCAATAATAATATGTTATAATAATTAACTTGTATAATAAAGAAGGTAAATGTATGTGTTTGTTTGAAAGCTTTAAATCAATAAATCTTCAAAAGTACTGAACTGAAGTACATTAATTTTATATCATTATAAAGGGAATTGCAAGACCTTTAAAATAAGGTATCACTCGACCCCCCTTTCCAGTTAAGATTTTGGGGGTGGTGTCACCCTGCTTAGGGGACTGCACGTGCCAGCGTGATTTTTTGCCAAACTTGTGTCTCCCTCGAAAACAAAATCGACGGGTCCGAGCGTTTTTCCAAAAAAAAACTGAGCTGCCAGTAAATGAGTCTGTTTCGTTTTCGATGCGCCATCCTGTATAATTAATTTACTAAATGATCAAGTATAAAGGAATATCAAAGAGTGAATGATGATAAAAGATGCTAGTGTGTGCATGTATTGTATATAAATGAAAGCGAGTAAAAGGTTTCAGCAACAAAAGCAGAATTATATGTAGATTCTGAGCGTACCTCGCGATGTGTTTGTTGAGATTGGCCGTCGGCGTCGTCGCAGCCGCTGCCGCGATCGTGCGTCGCGCCGCCGACTCGCACAAACCGAAACGTCCGAGATGCGGGAGCCTGTATTATTCAAGTAATGCTGGGAAGTACACCTGCTGGCAGTAGGTGTTCACAAAATGCACACAGGATGTACGATCCCGTTCGAAGGAGTGTCGGGCTTGGCTGGACAAGCGGCGTTGTTGTTGGCGGGTGCAGCGCCAGCGGCCGAAAGCAGGATCGATCGCGACGCTCGACGACGACACACCACCAGTGAGAGACGCCGGCGTCGGCGGCAGCGTCGCTTCACACACCCCCGAGCTCACCCCGCGAACTGCGGCACCAGCACCCGCACACACCCCCACCCGAATATCCGCCAACATCGCAAACAGTGTTGCCAGTTCGATATTCATTGCATCAGTAAATGGGTTGCCAAAAATTCAGTAGATTTCAGTAGATATATATTTTATGCAAATTTTAGGAAATAATAATAATATCTTTATTGCACACGCGGCACATAGCAAAGTATTCATCTTTTCCCTGTTTAATCCACTTTGTAAATTGCTCCTCTTCGGTCCAGCTTTTCTTAAATACTTGATTATATTTATTTTTTTTCTTTAAGGAACCAGCCCCTTCATTTTCAGAGTTATGGTACTCATTTGAACTAAAAAAATAATACATTACATCTTTAGAATTCAATATTAACTAATAAAAGTGAACTCACCTCTTTTTTGTACGTACCACTGGATACGAGATCAAACCGAATTGTGAAGGTGAAATCGAAGAAAAAACCAAAACCCTCGCGTTGTCGCGCAGAGCTGGGAAATCCCGGTCCCCGTAGTCGTTTACGCATTAATAACCGGTGATTCCCCTTGGCCGTGATCTGGTCCAGTGTTGCCAGGTCGCATAAAACCACTGCTGTTATGGATGATGCCATGATTCGTATTATTATTACGGATGATTCATCCGAATATTCTATTCATCCGTTTCCGTCTAACCGATTAGCAGAATATTCCGAATATTTACATCAGTAGTCTGGGCTGTAAAGCATTACCAACATAATATCAAGCGCTAAGACGCTTTCGAATTTATTTAGGGTCATCATTGATGACCGTATTTAAACTGATTCTTCGACAATATTACGCAAGGTCTAGGTTATGAATTAAAAATTAACAATAATAATAACATTAATTAGGCATCATAATTTTTTCACTAGCTTACAAAAATATTTCAGTAGATCAGTAGATCAATATACAAATCAGTAGATCTACTGAAAATTCAGTGAAACTACTGACAACACTGATCGTAAACACCCTTCGCACAATACGCACGTTGCCAAACCATTCTTTCATTCAGTAAAATCATTTGTCGATTCCTCTATTTTTATTGATCAAAATAAGGATATGCAATTAAATAAACTGTTACATAATCAAAATCGTTTAAGGTAATAGTCGATCTAGAAGGCATTTAGGCACATGGTTCAATCACAACTACAGATAGGAGATTCAAAGATAAAACGTGCGTAGCGAAACACCAATTAGTCCAACGGTTTTCGATAAAAAAAACATAGTCTGGCGCAAAAGAGACGTCCTGGCAGCAGCGCATTGGAATTTACTTTAAGTCTGTGGCTTGATGCCAAAAGGGATTGAAAAGGGGAGGTAATTCTGGGGGAAATGGGGCGCACGCGGTGAATCGAGTGTCAAGGCGAACCAGCGAAGGAGAAACACGGCAACGCTGCCCTGACACTAAAAATGGGGGGGGGGGGTAGAACGATAGCGTCTTTTCGGCTAAACACGTGCTACACCATTTTTGTTTATACCCCTTGCGCCGCTCCTCTTTTGCTACTACTATTAAATTAAATTCAATGTATCATCATTTTAAAACATCAAAGCATTATTTCCAAATTCTAATTATTATATACTAAGTGACATATAAAACCGAACACCCAGTTTAAATGGTTTTATTTTAATAAAAGTTGGTGAATGTATTTATCTTACTGTAAATAACATGTGAAAAAATTTTCAGCCCTATCAGTTGGACATTCCGGTTTTTATACGGCTTTTTATTAATTCACTAACGCTCTAAAAATGAATATTTCAGCCGCAGTAAAGAATCAACGTTGGCGGATTTTGGTTCTTGACTTCCTTTACGATCGGTTACGATGCCTACAGTACGGAGACCTGTACGATTTCGTCAACTTAGTGAGTTTGATAGGGGCCGTATAGTGGGACTTTCTTTTCGGGCAATTGCAGTTAGAGTGCAAAGAAGTGTAGACACTGTGGTTAGGTGTTGTCAGGCATGGCTTCGAGAAGGCCGTACGCATAGAGCAAGGGGCACTGGACGCCGCCGTAGAACAACAGACCGTGAAGATCGCCGCCTAAGATTATTGGCCTTAAGGGACCGTTTCTCCACTACCAGGTCCATTGCAAATGAATGGTTTGCAGAATACGGAAGACCTATTGACATGCGAAGTGTTTACCGACGAATGAGAAGTTTTGGCTTGTTTCATACCGGCCACACTGGGTCCTCCCTTTAACTCGAGAACACCGACGTAATCGCCTTGAGTGGTGCAGGCAACGGTCACTCTGGGATCAGGAATGGAACAGTATTGTCTTTAGTGACGAGTCTCGATTTTGTTTAGGCATGCACGATGGTCGTGCCAGGGTTAGAAGGCGACGTGGTGAAAGGAGCAATCCACAGTTTTTTGTTGAAAGACATGTTCATCACACTGTTGGAGTTATGGTTTGGGGTGCTATAGCTTATGGTTCCAGGTCACCTTTAATCTTCATCATAGGTAACATGAACGTGCAGCGTTATATCCACGAATTTCTAGAACCCCATCTTTTACCCCTTCTTGACACCCTGGCAGATCCAACTTTCCAACAAGATAATGCCCGACCACATGTTGCAAGAGTCACAATAGACTTCTTTCAACATAATGATGTCACATTGTTACCATGGCCACCAAGATCTCCCGACTTATCCCAATTGAGCACGTGTGGGATATGATGGGTAGGAGATTGCTCAATTTGCAACGTCCTCCTCAGACTCTAGAAGCACTTCGAGAGGAGTTGGTGGTTGCCTGGAATGAGATATCACAGGAGGACATTGACCACCTGATCAAAAGCATGCCTAGGCGCGTTGGAGAATGCGTAGCACATCAGGGTGCATCCACACATTATTAAAGGTCAAAGGGCTTTAAAGCAGTGCAATCATTTTGAAATTTTATCATTTACTTATTATGCTTCATTAAGTACTTATACAAACTTTTATTAAATAAAACCATTTAAACTGGGTGTTCGGATTTATATGTCACTTAGTATATGCATTATTTGGAAAACCTTTTTCTTAAATTTTATCTACTCAAAAAGTTGCATCAGTAGCATAGCGAGTGTAATAAATAAGTCTAGGAAAGCTTGTTTATACGGGTAGTGAACTTGTTAAGATTAGTAGAATCTAGAAAGGCTTCTCTCAGAATATGGTTCAAGACTCTCAACATACCAGGAACAAAATAGTGGTTCCACCAGACAGTTCTCGATGTATAGAGCACAACTGATCTGAAGTGTGAAACACATACGTGGACCTCCGGTATTTCGACAAACATTATGTAGGGCAGTGTCGGACTATCGCCTTTGTCGGCTTATAGAGCACTGCCTAAGACCCCTATAGTCCGGAATTTTTACAAAAGTACCTTGTAATCCGACAAATTACATATCTAATGGTAAGATTATATATGTTATGTATATGAATGTACTTTGAAGTACAAATCGTACATAGTTTATGTATGTCGAATTTAGTAAATTAAATAACAATAGCGAGCTTACGTTTTATTATAAAATTAAGCATAAATGCACATACATATGTACCAAAATAATCAAGAATTATCACTGGACAACAAATTTTAGTTTTTTAATTGTATCTTGTGGGAAAAGTGCACTTCTTTGTTAATTTTAGGGCGCTGAACCAAAAATGACAATGAAATAAAAAAATTAGTTGCGGTTTAGAAAAAAACTTTTTATTTTTAAGGATATGTTAAAAAAAGTAACAAGATTCATATACTTATAAGAATCACTATATGCGCTGTCTTTTTGCTGTTCTTTTATGGATCGTTTCTGGAGCATCTCTACCAAGAGTCCAACAGTAGTCTGCAAGCATGGAAGGATTCCACTTTCCCTGGTGCCTTTTTCCATTGTTGAAATATCCTGATGAAAACGTTCGCCGTGCTCATCACTTACGGCTCCGCAATTGTCAGGAAAAAGTCCAGGTGTGAGTGTAGGAAATGTATCTTAAGAGACATATTACAGCCCATCTTTTGATACGATGACAGCATATTTTTGACAAGGGTTTTATAGTTGTCAGCTTTTCTATTTCCCAAGAAATTAGTGACCACCAGACGGAAATCATTCCAAGCAGTTTTTTCAATACCTGTTAAAGTGTTTTCAAACTGTGTATCTTTAAAATATTTCGAATCTGTGGCCCAACAAAAATACCTCTTTAACCTTTGCCTCACTTAGTCTTGGAAATTTCTGACGCAGGTATTGAAAAGCTGACCCATTCTATCTAATGCCTTGACAAAGTTTTTCATTAGGCCCAACTTGATATGCAGTGGTGGTAATAAAATTTTTTTCGAATCTACTAATGGCATATGCTGTACATTTTTTTGACCTGTCTAGGAATTGACGAACAGGCCAGTTTTGTCTGGTGTAATGAAGTGCCTTTGCCCGACTGTCCCATTCACACAAAAAACAGCAAAACTTTGTGTAGCCTAGCTGCAGCCCAAGTAAAAGTGCAACAACTTCAAATCGCCACAAATATGCCATTGGTGCTCATCGTATTTTATGCATGTCAATAGGTACTTCATATTGTCATATGATTCTTTCATGTGAACTGCATACCCTACAGGAAGAGATGGTAAAATATTTCCAATATGCAATAACACTGCCTTTAAACTCAATGTTGAACTGTCTATAAACAATCTCCATTCTTCTGGGTTATTTTATATTTAAAGCCGCCAGTAAGCCGTAATGTTACTGCAGAAAACCAAGTTATTCTCCATATTGAAAATGGTTCTAAGTCTTTGTGGCATTTACGAAAAACACATACCGAAACATCGTCTTCTAACAAGTTCCACTGCTGCAGTCTTGATCCAAGTAACTCTGCCTTACATTTTGGAAGTTCTAAATCTCTTACAAGATCATTTAATTCTGACTGTGTTATTTTGTGCGGTTGGTGGCATGACGTGCTCGGTATAAAATCAGGATCTCTTGACGTTGATGGCATATCTTCTTCCTGACGAATCACTCGATCGCCATGATCTGATTCGTTTTCGGATTCTGGGGGTTTTGGAATAGGATTTTCGTCACTGTGAGGCACAGGTCTCATCGCAGATGGTATGTTTGGGTAGTTAATAACCATTTTTTTTTCTTGGTCATACCTGTGGCTTGTCCAACACAAGCCATGCAAAAGTAACAATCATTAATATGATTTGTAGGCTCTCTCCAAACCATTGGGACAGCAAAGCGCATAGACCGTTTTTTGCCATTTAACCAGCTCCTCAGACTTGAAGCACATGTATTACAGCAGATGTGGGGTGCCCACTGTTTGTCTTGATCACCTAGTTTACAACCGAAATAAAGCTGATATGCCTTTGTTATTAGTGGAGTAATAGACCGTCTCTGAGACGCAAAAGTCACATCACCACACACGTAACAACTGATCTGGATTGTTTACACACTTTCGAGACATCTTGCATGAACGCTGTCAGCCAACTGAGGAAAAAATGGCTAATATAAAACAATATAATGTACACGTATGTATAACGTAACACAATCATGCCGATTACATCATCTTTCCTTGCCGAATATAAAAATGTAGCACGTGCATTCTTGTGAATTACAGTATATTAACACTGTCACAGCAGGAACACATATAATTACCGTATCTCTAAAACTTGAACTAATATTGAAAAAATAAGTTTCATTCCGGTTTTAGCACATTAAAAATAGTAATATTTTGTTGATTTTATTTAGGATATTTTTTGGCTATTGATCAGTGTTATTAATCAAAATCGTTAATGAATTTATCAAATTATGAAGCTT